TTTGAACAATTATCCAATATATTTTAATTGCCGACGTAGTTTTCAATTGCAAATGTGATTTTAAAAATTAGGTTATTTCCGCAAAATTGATTGACAAAATTAGGGCAAAAGACGACAACGTGGCAATCCGGGTTAACAGAACTCGGGGCGCTACACCAACACTTCCAAATTCTTATGGAAAAATATCATTTGTTGGTTTGGAATTTCCCACTGCATCGTATCAGACAATGGCAGGCAGTTCGACAACAAAAAGGTCAGGGATATGTGTGAAGAGTTGGGTATTAAGAAGCATTTTTCCTCCCCACATCATCCTCAAGCAAATAAGCAGATCGAGCCTGTTAACAAAATAATCAAATACACCCTGAAGAGGAAGTTAGATGCTTCGAAAGGGGTATGGGTCGATGAGCTACCCTAAGTACTTTGGGCAATCAGAACAACAAGACGAACTGCAACTGGAGAGACCCCATTCTCCATGGTCTATGGGGCCGAGGCTATGAGCCCGGTCGAAGTAGGTCTTCCGTCTCCTAGATGAATACACTTCAACGAAATAAGTAATGACATAATGATGAGATGTGGGCTAAACCTCCTCGAAGAGAGGGGGGATGACTCTCAGGCCAAAATGGCCATATACCAAAGGAAAATGACCAGGTACTATAACTCAAAGGTAAAGAAGAAGTCGTTTCGACTAAATGAATTAGTACTACAAAAGGTGTTCCCACCTTCAAAAGAACATGGATCAGGGACCCTCAGACCCAACTGGCTGGGTCCATACGACATATGCGAAGAAGTTTACCCTGGAACCTACAGAATTAAAGATATGGATGGAAAGGCACAGCCTCATCCTTGGAACGCAGAACATCTGATCAAATATTATCAATAATGTGAGACATCTTGTATTCATAAGTTCAATGTTTAATATAAGATCTTATTGAGTATCCACGAGTTAAATAAGGTCCCAAAAGGACCACTTCTGCATCCAATTCATGCTTTCATTAGCTAAAGTCAGTTAAAAACTTCGGCATGAGCCACTGCCGAAGTGGAAAATACTACCTAACCCCTAGACACTTGAATGATTTCTTAACGAATAGACCATTGTTGGAGTGTGATGTAAGTGTCGATGTGGTTGGAATCTTACATAGTTATTTGCCTAAACAAGTTCTGACGACGAGAATGATCTATTAACACTTTAGTTTTATAAGATCAATCATATTATTAAGGCTTATATTGCGTATCGTCTGATCTCATCAAATGTTCCCTATCAGTGGTCTCCATCATTCATAAGTTCAATGTTATCAAGTTTTTGATGTTATTATTAAGGCAATATGACCTCGGGTTTGATTCGACTACAAGTTGCTCTGATCGTAATAAGCGCATCGATACAAAGCAAAATGGTAATTAAAATAAATAAAAAACACATCAGTATTAAATAAAGGAAATTCATTCATAAGAAAACATTTACAGTTGGTGGGCCGAAGCCATTACACTTAATAAAAAAAAAGGATAAAAAGATATAAGGATAGAAAGCTACTCTAGGTAGGTGGGAGGGAGGAGCCACAAAAGGTACAATGGCATCAGGAGCCACTTCTTCAGCAACAGCCTTGTCAATAGTGTCATCATCAAGCTCAATTATTTGGCTTCCCTCCACCGAAGTTTGAGGTTCAGGCTCCTCTGATTCCTTCTCCAGAAACTTTATCCTTAGTTCGGAGGTGTTGATGCCTTGAGTATGCACCTTCAGCCATTCTATCAAATCCGTGTAGGCATACCTCCGCCAGTTGCCAGTACCTCACGAAGCTCTTATACACCTCCGTCAGATGAAATTTGGCAAGGAAATGCTTCTCGGTATCATTACCAGCAGTTTCACCCTTCTGTCTAGAAACCTCCACCTCCTCGGTAAGCCCAAAGATCCTGGAGGTCAGCTCCCTCACCTGCTCCTTAAGAGCCACGTTCTCTTTATTTGCCCTCTCCAAGGCCTCTGCCGCCAAATGCTGATGAGCGTCGGATGTTTCCACTCGCTTTGTAAAAGATGCCACTTCACTTTGAGACAAGTGGACCTCCTTCTTCAACTTTTCGATCTCCGTCAAAGCGGAAGTGAGTTTCACAAACTCCTCGGCCTCTTTCTTCTTCTAGGCCTCGGCCTTCACATTCTTGGCTGCCTCCTCTACCTGGGCAGCCTTATTCAAAAATTCTTTATTTTTTTGTTGAAGGTTTTTGAAGAGGGCCTTCACCTCTACAGCCATGACAAAAGACCTTCCCGCCTGAGCCACCATTGTAGTAACAACGTCAACAGCATCACTGGTCTCCATGAAGTTTTGCCACTTCTCCATCCAGAACTAGTGGAATGATGTGGTAGTTGTCTAGATCTCGGAGGAAGAAGTGGAA